ATACAGCATACAGCATACAGCATACAGCATACAGCATACAGCATACAGCATACAAGATGCACTCTGTACATAGTACATAGAGTATAGAATACAGTATCATATATATGTATACATGATAGTTGGGTATTACACCGGAGTATGTACAGCAGCATATTTACAAGTTGATGCCTAGACAAGTACGAATACATTCTCTCTCTGATACTCGCACTTAAATCAACAGCGACAAAAATGAAGCAAGAAGATATGTGATAAGTACGAGCGAGCGTACGAACGAGTAGACTAGATAAGTGCGAGTATTTCGAGTATTAATTTTGATTATAGTTTTCGATCAACTATTTACGAAAAATAGATGCAAAGATACGCATTTCATAGGTCTAGTTTGAAGACCACTTCAATTCGGATTTGAGATCGAGTGTTTTGATTTTCTTGAATTTCTTGCTAATTAATGGCTGCTTGGATTTCGGGTCGAAAAGTGGCACAAGATTCTTTGCACCAGTTTTGGACTTTCGTTTTGTATATATATAAATATTTTCGTTTGCTTTTTGGTTTTATTTTGTATTTGGTATTTTGAATTTTTGGTTTGTTTTGTTTTGTTTTTGGTAAAAACGTGGGAACGTACCTTAAAATATTTTCCAGCAAAAAGCTGTACACCCATTATGGCAAAAATTAGCCAAAATATTAGACACACCAATAGCACATTGAAGATGGACGGTATAGCTTGTACCAGCGCATTAACGACGACCTGGTTTCATGATAATTTTGTTACGATATCATTTTCATTTTTATTTTTGATTTATATTTTAATTATGCGAATTTCATATTGTTTTTATTTTATTATATTTTTGATTATTTATTCGGGTCGTCGTTTTCGATGTTCGATGTTGGGAAGGTTTTTTTTTGGTTGATGTGGATAGTTGTGGATATCAGGAGCAGTTTTATTTTTTGTGTTGGTGAATTATGTTTTTTTTTTTTTGTTTTTTGGTTTGGGGGAGTATATAGAATATAATACAATAAATGCAGAGAGAGTTATTTAGTCAATTTGGCAATAAAAGTTAGCAATTTATAGTTATATAAGTTAGAGTTGTTGTAGTTAGTATGTGTAGTAAGCATGATATAGTACAGTTACACTATTTATAGATCAGTTGGGTGTGAGTGAGTGTGTGTGTATGACAGTTTGAGAGAAAGAGAGAGAGAGAGAGAAAGAGAGGGAGAGATGATGTGATGTCTGCTTTAGTATGCTATGATAATGATGATGATAATGATGATGATGATGTTCGTGATGTGTCTCGTGATGTTCTTTGTTGTGTTCTTGTTCGAACTACTTTAGGTGCAGCATGCAGCAAGCGTTGAACTGATTTAACAGTCGATTAGTTATCACATTATTTATATATATGTATAAAGCAGCAGCAGAGGCTTGAGTGGCTTGATTTGCATATCACTAGACGACACATTTACACAGATCATGAAAGCAAGAGGCACGCAGCATAACGGAACAGAGTTCATTGAGGTGCATTAAACTCTAAGCTACAAAATAGATTTACATTTGGTGCTCGTAACCGTACGATATATATAAGTATACATAAATATAATAACTTAACTAAATATGGTTTATGGAGAGTAAGAGCGGAGAGAGAGAGAGAGAGAGTGCGTGACAGGGAGAGAGAGGTAGAGAGATTCCAACGAAAGTGCTCAGAATTCACCATATGTTTCAATTCCAATTGGTGTTGATTTTTTTTCCGCTTTCAATTATAGATTCTAATGATTACATACATATTATAGATGTATGTATATGTATGTGTTGTAATTTTCGAGTGATATAACTGAGCGTTATCTCTAATAGAGCATAGAATGCAGTTAGACTTCTAAAGAACAAGCTAAATACAAATGAGCGATAGATAAAGAGAGAGAGCGAGAGAGCGGGAGAAAGTGAGAGTGAGCGAGAGGCATAGCAAAGAGAGAGACAGAGAGGCAGAGGCAGAGACAGAGAGAGAGAAAGAGAGAGATATGTTGAAGAACAATTGGGTGTTGAGTGAGCTATAGATTTAAATAGTTTTAAAAATATTCAATTTCCAATTGAGTTCCATGTACGAGAGTAAAAAAATGCACTACGATTAACGGTACTTAAAAACATAAGATATATTTATATACATATATAGATGTATATTTAATGTAGGCATATAAATAACGTGTGTTCGATAATAACAAGAGTTTGAGTATATAAATAAATTGAGCTAATCAGTTGACAAATTATGGATGCAATCTAGAATTGTTCAACGTTACGAAATAGTCTAGGAAAATTAACAACAAACAAAAATTAGATTTTTTTATCTGCTGCACGTTGATAATTATTTTTTTAATTTTAGTATTTTTTTTTGGTATTTAACTGTTTTGCTAATAATTCGACTAAATACATTTTATGATTAAGTATTCAACTAATTAATAGATAGAGGTATTTGTGTGTGTTGTGTGTGTGTGTGTGGCTGGTTAGTGTTGTGGCATGAGTGTGTGTGTGTGTGTATAAGAGTAATTAATATCAGCGCGCGTATAAGAGAGTGTTGACAACTGCATGGGCAGCCATTTTGTTTTTGGATTTTGATCATAATGAAAATCGCTGTGGAATTTTGATTGAACTTGATAATATTTTTGTTGGTACTGAATGAATGAATATTGGAATATGTAGTATTGAGAAGCTGTTGCTGTTTGTATTCTGGTTGTTTTGTATTTGGTATTTGGTATTTTGTTGGTATTTTTTCTGTTTAGTATTTTTTTTTTTACGTAATTGGTTTAATGTATGAAAGTACGTACCCGCATGCCCTGCATACGGGACATGGCACGTAGTGGTCTCAGTGCTCTTAACGTTCGCATAGTCTTGAAGGCTTGAATACCACCAGCTCCAACAAGTGAAGCAACGAAGTTGATAAGCGATACCTAGTTTCGATATAGTTCGAATAGTGCCAAGTTTAACAAATTTATTTTAAATAAAGTTACGATTAATATAAAAGTGTTTTTGATAATTTGGGTTTCGAATTTCCATTTTTTGTTTGATTTGATTTTTCTTTTCTTTTCTGTTTCTTGTTTTGGGGTAAGTTGGGTTTGTGTTTGTCCTGTCGTACTTGTTCTTGTTTCTTCAAATACATACATAACTGAATTATAAGCATATATATATGTATATATAAATGTCAACTGTTGCCTGCTGTAGTCGGGCGAAACCTACGTAAACGAACCTCAACGGAACTCAGTTGCCTTTCGCATTTGGCTTGAGCAGCTCTAGCACTTAAATCGACATTACTTATATGGTAGCCTAGTATTTTGTTTATGATATAGTATATAGCATATATATAATAATAAGATGGAGGTATTTAAGGTATATATTTTTGTAGTACTTGCAAAACACATACAACATATGTAAGTATTTAGTCAACTAGGTAGATAAACACATATATTGGAGTATAGTTATTTCGATTCGATCACACACACATACATGGAACGTGTTAACAGATACGTATATATATATAGATAGATAGATAGATAGTTTGAAGTTGGAGTAGTAGTAGTACATACTTATAGTATACTCGTTATGCATGTAACATTGATAGCTGTGGTTCAAGAATACGCTACGATTGGACAAGTACAAGTAATGCTCGAGGGTAGTTGGAGCATTCGACAACAACACAACTGGCGGGATTGAAGGGATTACGACACTCATAACATTGGATTGGTTGAATTGAGTAAAAAAACAGAACAATGGGTTGTTCAATGAGCTGTCAAAGGCAACGAGATCGAGAGCCTGTCTGTATTTGTGAAAGGAAGAGCTCTTATGCATGGGGTGGTTATAAGTTCAAGTATAAGAGTTTTAGGAATAGAAGAGATTAAAAGAGTTATTTCGGGTTGGTTGTGTAACAGTTATAAGGAATACAGAGATCGAGGGACTGTTCAGAAGAGATACTACATATGTATAAGAGTTGGTAGTATTAGGAGTTACAATAGATCAAGAATTTCGGGCTAGTTATAAGATTAGATTAATAAGTATAAGAGCGAATTGCATATGAGTAATCAAGAGGCTTTCGGTGTAAGAAGATGTTTTAAAAATCGAGAGACCGTCTGCTTATAAAGGAGGTTGAATTAACATACGAGAAAATGAGATCAAGCAGTTGCCTGTATAAGACAAATGAAGAAATGTTTCAGAGTAGTGAATACTTTGATTAATAAGAGAACAAGAGATCGAAATACTGTTTGTATAAGGGAGGGCTGACAAATAGAAACAATCGAGAGACCTCTCTTAAAGGAGCCTGACACATCTGTCTGCAACAAAGGCCTGTCCTAGGAGCGGCTATTGTTAGATTGAGGGATGATCGAGAGCCTGTCTGTACTGAGGAGAAACTTCTGGGATGAATGGGGTATATATTTTGTTTGTATACTAACTAGTTGTATATTGACTCAATGAGGGGTTGAAGATTTTCGTATATAAAAAAAGAAGAAAACATTTCGTGTTGCACCCTTCACAGCTGCACAGAGCTTCACAATGGACGAGGCCACATGCAAACGCCAATTGGGAGAGACGCATGGACCCAATGATTCAATTTTCTTATCGACATTGTCAACTAGTGTTACAGTTAAAGTTACGGTTACAATTACAGTTACGATTACGAGTACTGTTAGAGTGTTCATTGTATTCGAATACTAGGTGCTGCCCTATATACAAGCCCCAATATATGTATATATATTTTCATATCGCATTTGTGTGTGAGTGTGGATGTGTGTAGGTCAGTTAGTATGTTTGTCCGTGTGTCTGTCTGTGTAAGTGTGTGTGTGTGTGTGTTTGTTTAGATTAGAGCAATCTGTGACGTTTGCATTGCCTGTGGGTCCATTGTGCCGCCGTGCAACGTTCGCACTAGGTTTTTCGTTTCATTTGATGGGGCTGTCATTATTTTGTTGGCTTTTGTCTTTATATTGACACATTTTTGCTCAAACTTTGCTGCCGGACTCGATTGGTTCGGGGATTTCATTGGCTGGTTGGTAGGTACAAAAGTTCTTGATATATGTTCGTTAGCCTGGCCGGGCCTCGAATGGAGTTGTGTGTGAGCGTGCGAAGCACGCAATTGGATTTCACAGGGCCCTGAGCCAGACTGATTGAGTTTTGGATGCGGCTTGTATATAAGTAAAACACTGCCACCACTGCGTATACGCAATCTGTCAAATGTTGACAATTGCAATTGTATTCGACTGTCGTTTCTATTGCGATGCACATATATTTATATATAGTATAAGAAATACCTATTTACAGGACAACGGTATATATATGTATATGTATATGTATATACAAACGATTCGTATTACCTAGAGTTCAACGATAATAATTGTATATCTCTGGGGATTTGATTGGAATGTTGTTGTATTTTTTACACTAGGCGACTTTTCGAGTAGAAATCTAGAAAGTTTTTGCTCTTCGCGTCTTTGTACAGTGGTGGTGCTTATGCGCCTAATATATAGTAGTATACAAGAAACGGGTAATATATACATATTTAAGAAAAATATATATATCATTATTGGATCTTCGGTGCCGCTAAGGTACTAGGCCTTGGAGATGGTTCGGGGGGATTTGGTATGGGTCCTTTTATATGATTCAGAATGACAGATAGAGTTGAGAGTCAATGGCTACGGTTTACGCTAAGATTAAATAACGGATACAGGAGTATATGGTTATACGGGTATACGGGTATTCGAGATTCTAGGGGTCGACTAAGGGCGCTACTTGATTGAGTTTCGGATTGCGTTTGAACCAAACTACTTACATACGCATCTATTTACATACGGATGGGTATGCAAACCAATGTGTTTAATGGTTTAGCAAGTAGTACGTAGCTTCGGCTTAGTACTTAATATACAGATAATACAACTGTTATACTTAACCTAGATTACAGTCTATAACTGATGCTACACTAGGCGATTATATAATCTATTTATAAACTATATATATGTATGTATATACTTGAGTTGAGTTGATCTTATAACAGAGTATAACATAATATACAAAGCTAAAGCATTACAGCGGCAACGTTTATATATTATAATAATACACATGTACATACATACATTCATAGGTAAATGTATATGGTTATATAGTTGGGCACATGACTGGATTATGTATATAACAGAAAAATTCAAAACGATAACCAACGAATAAGAAGAAGCTCCTTCTCTTACATTTAACTTCGGGTATGATAAGAATTGAATTCAAAATGATAATTAGCTCACTGATATACATACATACATAGATTTAGAATTATTTGTTATACAATTGCAACATGATTGAACTCCTAATGCAACATTATGTAGATATATGTAGAAACGTTTGCTATAATTATAGTATATAATACAATTGTCACACATATACATATATGTAGGTATATGTGGTACAGTATTAGTCAGAGATTGATTGCTGTGGATGGTTAGGTACAATGGTTAAAGAACACAAAATAAATGTACATACTGGCTGGTATAACAGTTAGCAAAGCGCCGCTCTAAGCGCAGTGTGAACAATTGTTTGGTAATCAACACAGATACAACGCTGATAATCGAAAACATAGACAAAATAAATGAAAAAAAAAAAAAAATAAAATAAAATAAAATATTCGTATATAACACACAACAAACACACATACACACATACATACTTATATACATATATATATATTTAGATATAAAATGTATATATATATGGAAGTACTCGTGATGGAAGATCGCGAAATTAATTAGGCATATAACAGTTGAGCGCATAATAAATGGTTATTCTTAGAACAGTTAGACGTATAACAGTTACGCATATAACAGTTAAACGTATAACAGTTAAACGAATAATTGGCAGTTAGCCGTATAACAGCTAAGCGTATAACAGTTAGGCATATAATAATTATGCATATAACAGTAAGAACTGCTGCAACGGATCAATTACGATCGGCACACGCACATTTATACAATTAGTGCAGCTTGGCGCACACACACCAAGAATCTTAGCAGTTAGCACACACATAAAGAGACAGAGAGAGAGAGAGAGAGAGAGAGATAGTGAGAAATAGAGCGAGAGAAAGAAATGCTCTTGATGTTGTCGCAGCCACAGCTAAGAGAGTAAACAGAACAACATCAAGCGCACAGCTGACAATCGCCATTGGCTTTGATATTGAGTTTGTATAATAGTATAACAGTTAATACACATTGTATACATATAAGAGATTGATAACATTTGTAAGTATTACGACATTTAATATAGCTGGTACATAGATGTATATGTATATATAAATATGGGATTGGACGTAGATAATGCGCACTCCCATACACACGCACACGCACGCACACTCAGACAGACATACAGAGCGACAGATAGAAAGAAACAGAGAGAGAGAGAGAGAGAGAGAGAGAGAGAGCGAGCGCAAGACACATTTACACGAGTACTATTTACGAGAGAGACAGCAATAGAGACAGAGAGAGAGAGAGAGAGCGTCTATTACTTACTTTCATGCCCTCCCATCGCGAAACGGCGCGCAATGGCCTCAAAGCGCGTAGGGTCCGCATCGAGCGGAAGGCGGGCACATCGTCGGCTCCGGACCAGACCGCAGCCAAATTGATTAGCGACAGCTAAACGACCATTACATAAGTACATAGTATGTATTTAAGCATGAACAGCTTCGGAAACCACTCAAAAAATCAAATTCCAACTCAAATGCAAACTCGAAATCATAAGTAAATTAAAATTCGAGTGAAATTCGAATGATCGCATGATCTAAATATGTTTTGTTTTTTTTTTTTTCAAGTATTATATATATATATATGAATAGATATTATATAGTGTGCAGATAGTAGATTGGCTTAGTCTAGACTAGATAAATGACTAACTAGTTATTCTACAACTTTTATAGTCTAAGTTTTCAACTGGGTTTCATATGTTACATGGCTGCTTACGGGTTCGCTGTTACACTACTGTTTACAGATGTGTTATACATGTAGCTCTCCTAACCGTTATACAAATTGGCAGAAATCAAAAATTTAGAAAATTCTATTTATACATTATTTTCGAAATATATCCATATAGAGTCCAGATGTCAGTCAGTGTATATAGATCGATATATATATATAGTACAGGTATTATTTTTTTTCTGTTCATTTTTTTTATACCTAATTCGAGTTGTTGTAATTATTTTAATTTTTTTGTAAATTTGGACAAATTGCATTTAATTGTGATTCGGATTCGGTTCGTGATTTGTTAAGTAACTTAAAAATCGAAAGCATTTGTACACGGCCAACGAGATGGACTTACCATGACAATAACGAAATCAAGCCAGCACCACGCATTCGTGAAGTACACTTTGAAGCCGAGCGCCAACCACTTGATTAACATCTCCAAGAAGAATATAACCGTAAATATTCTGTCCATATAGTATAAAATATCCTGCAGTATCGGCCGTTGTGGCAGGTGAACATCTTCTAAAGCCTGTCGGAGTCGATGTTGGAGTCGTTGTTTGGTGTGGGGGCGAGTGGGGTATTCAAGTTATTTGTAAAAGAAGTTTTTGTTTGCATTACAAGTACAAGTAGATAAGTATAGAGAGAGAGGTTGTATATGGTATCTAGAAGCAGTATAAGAAGCTAGATAATCGATAAGCAATATATGGTAATTACGTAAGTCTGGAGCAGCTGCCGCATTACTGGCTTTACTCACATACTCGAGTATCTACACTTCATTTATTATTATTATTATTATTATTATTGTTATTAGTATTATTATTATTGTTATATATATATTTTTTTTTTCTTTTTTATTTGAGGCAAGAAAAAAGTGTTGTTGTTATATTTGTTTTTTCTTCTTCTTCTTCGTTTACGGACAAATGAAAGTCAAACGCAATTAAAGAAAAATTTTCAAAGAAATTGAAGACAAAATTCTTGAAATAATACGCATAAGCGTCTCTCACAGAAAGCTAACGGTAAACTTCTCTAGCTAGACAAAAGCCCTACGCATGTAATGCCAATCGAAATTGTTATGCAATTATTACAGGGTATTCCATGTGCTTTTGCGCATAGGCAAAGACACAAACCGTTTGACTGGAATGTGCCTAAGCTTAGGTCAAAAGGCAACATCAACATCATCTCAGGTTGGGGATCAAAGCTCTAATAACAACTCAGGAAATTTTAATTCAAATTAAATCGTTGCTCAACTACTGATAGCAACAGCAATAAGCTGGCTGGCTGGATCACATAATGAAATCATATATATAAATATATTGTAAATACATATATTCGAGAATCTCAAGCAATTAGGCATTAAGCATTTGTGTGTCTTGTGTTGCTACCAGTAACGGCAAAATGAAGATTTAAAAAAAAATTTGTAAATCAAAGTATTTGTAATATTGTTGAATCTAAGCTAAGCTCAACTAGGCTAATTGACTCTAGTAACAAATCAAAAATTCAAATCAAATATTCAATGAAGCAATCAACTTTGGTAAAGTTTAAGCGAGGCTTGTTTAACTACTTAGTTTTCTTCTTTTGTTTTTGCTTGATTTTTAATTAATTTGCAAATTCAATAAAATGCAAATATTTTTGAGAAATTTCAAAAATATTTTGCGTTTTTGGCAAATTTGTTTTTGTTTTGTTTTTTGGTTTTTTAAAATTGTTTTTTTAAGTAGTTGTAGTTGTAGTCGACTTACCAAAGCTAAGCTACTCATTAAAATCATAGTGATAACAGCTGTTTCAAAATATTTATTTTCAATTAATTGAAAAGTTTTCAGTCGTAAATTGCCCCATCCTTGCCAGAACGGCGAATCTTCGTCACCGGCTAAGATTGGAAATTTCTTATAGTACGAATCGGGGCAGCAATCAGCTGGATATTCGTCAAGTATATCCTCGTCGTTAGCGTGTATTATGATATCACCGTCGAGGGGGCCCTCCTCGCATTCGCCCTCCTCGTCCAGGTCCTCGTCGAGACCTAAATCCTCTTTGCTGGCGTCGCGCTTCTCCTCGCCCTCCATCGTTTCGGCGCTGCCCTTGTGGCTCTCGTCCTTGAATGGTCGATTCTTATGGCTACCATATGAGTTAATGCTGGCAGTGTCGTCGTCCTGTAAGGACAAACCTCTATGGTTTAGCTCGTGTTCCAGTCTATTGTCTTGGTGGTTAATTGAGTTGCCAATCATCTGTATAATTATTTATATATATTTTATATATATATATATATATATATATTTGTTTTTGTTTTGTATTTTTTTTTTTATATATATTTTTTCATATATATATATTTTCGAACGTGTTCAGTTCGAGTGTTAGGTTCAGTTGGTTGGTCGAGTTTTTTTTTCGCACACGCACATACACACACACACACACACAAACATAGTACATACACATAGACAGTTATATGTAAAAAAGTTATTTAATATATGAACGAAAAGGAAATGAATAAATAATATAAATCAATTTGTTGTCGTTAAGAAAATTAGTCTAAATATGTAAATTTATATATATAAATATATATATGTATGCATAGACATATAGCTATATATATCTATGCATATATGTATGTATGTATATAGATAGGCATGTATATATAAGAAACATATACATGCATAGGTAGTTGGAAATCGTATGTATATATTCCTAAATATGTGCATATACATATATTCATAGAGATTCGTACACAAATGTACATAGCCACAAATACACGCAAATACACGAACTAGAAACCATTGGAGTTTAGATTATAAAAATATATCGTCTATCCGTATCAAATTTAGTTAGGAAATTTATTCTGACAGCTCAAAACTGGAGGCGTGGCATACTGTAGGCGTACTTCTTTCAATATGCCCGCTACATATGATACTGAGGGCCCACTGTAGTTGCCCCACAGACCCATAAGACACAGTATACTCTAGGCTTAACGCACTAATACAATCACAAATGAAGCCCAATGACCTACTCTAGCATATAGCTGGGAACATTGAAAAGGCAGACGGAATCCAAGTTAACTACGAAGGAGTCATCCTTCTATAGCCATACCATACCATATTTGCAGTGTATTTGCATAGGCACTTGCCTCCATACACATGTTTATCAAATATCTACGAATATATATACACACAAATATATACATACATACACATATATACATATATCATGAAGCAAACAGAGTATATACACATATATGTATATATTTTATAGATAATCGAATTCGAGTTGTTTTATTTACCGTTGCATTATTTAGATATTTGGATTTCTTCGGCTTGCTGTTCTTCATGTCGCCGTGGATTGTGAACTCCATGCCATCGCCGATGGCCACCTCCAGCTGTGTTTGCTCCTTGATGCCCTTCTTGATCAGCCCATCGGCCAGTATCTCGTCGTGGCCCAGCTCCAATTCGTTGTCACCGTGCTCTGCAGATATACAACGACAAACGCCCTTGCCTTTCGTATCCAAATATTGTTTTGTTTCGTTTTTGTTTTTTTTGTTTTTTTACATTTTGTTATTATTTAAAATTATTTTTTTTTTCGATATGTACACGTTATATATAGTATATATATGTAGATGTATATATATATGTATATAGCATATGTGTGACACAAATATATATATATACATATATTATATAGCATATACGTATATATGGTTGTACATGTATGGGTGATGGGAGGGAAATCATAAAGCGAGCGCGAAACATTCGCACGTTTTTCAATTTCAAACACAAGCAAAGCAGTTGCCGTTCGCATTCAAGAGTTGTTGTTATTGTTGGTTTTTTTTTTTATCATTGTTGTTGTCGTTGTTGTTGTCGTTATTGGTTGATTAGATGAGATATATAAAACGATTTGTTTGTTATCATTTTTTTTTTTTCGATTTGATTTTGTCGTTTGAGAATGAGTTTTGAGGCGTTCGATACGTTGGCCAATGCATGGATATATTTTATTTATATTTATTTTTTAATCATGATAGCCACATTACATAAATGAAAAGAATATAGATAGTTATGCGATTAATATCATATGAATATTAAGTAGATTTTTCTAATGTTTTTTTTTTCTTTTTATTTACGACACATAATGGAACAGAAAACATGAGCGCGCTGGCTCAACCGATCAACGATCCGATCGCGGTGCTAGATACAGTTGAGCAAGCGCTGCTGGCATGCTAATGCCATTCGTGGAACAACACAACAGCGATTAACGTGATCTGTGAACGGGCGCCCAGAGAAAGAGCTGCAGAGTGAGATGGGATGATCGCTAGATGATGATCGCTCGGATCGATGATCGCTAATTGGCGAAAATAAACATGAAGTTGTCCAATCTAGAAGCCAGCTGCTCATAATATACATACCTATGTATGTATGTAGCTACTGCTGGCTTCTGGACATGGACATGGGTATTACATAAGCACTAAGTTTACATTTACAAAACCGAAAAAAACACATATATCATATGTATATATGTCAAATACAATTTAAGTGCTAGCGGTAAATTTGTTTGTAACTTTTGTCAAAAAATCAAAACTCGAGAAAACGAAAATGAAAATAAACCAAAAAACTCCATACATATACAATTTACAATATACAGTATACAATATACATTATACAATATACAATATACACAGACAACAATAATATCGATATCGAAAAAAAAAAGAGAAAAGTTTCGTATCACTATGAAGGATCAAATCCACTGTTTTACTTTCAATTTATATAATTTATTGGGTATCTAGAGTTATTATATATATATATATATATACTAGATAGATATATATAGATCAAATTTCATGTTAACCATTGGCAATTCGCTAATGTCAGATGTTGACCAAATTTTTGAATGTTTTTTATTCGTTCTTTATCGTTTCGAAAAGTGCAAATTTATCGTTAATCAAAACTAGGTATGAGAGGGACGACGGCGGCGGCGGGGGAGTCATGAAACCAATCGACACATGTCTAATTCTATTCTATGAACAGTTTTGTGAGCTGTGGGCGTTAGCCCAAAAGACGAATACGAATACGAATACGAATACGAGGAGTTCGAGCTGCTAACTATACAAAATACATATACATATACACATATGTACACACGTATGTAAAAATGAAACAAAAAAATAAACAACTAAACAGAAATGATACAAGTAGTAGTTGTAGAAGAAGATAACGAGAGAGATACTGTGAGATACAGTCGATATCTAGCTAAGGAAACAAGATGTGTTTATGACTTTTTTTTTTGTAATATTATTATTATTATTATAGTAGATATAAAATACGCACAACTAACGCTAGGTATAGTATGACGAGACTACGATTCTATTTGTCATATAGTAACTATTTAAGTATATATAACAGTTATGGGTAGAATATTAGGGTATGAGGTGAGCGGATATGTCACACTCGGCGCAGTTGCAGTTCTTGTTGCCCCCAGATGCATACGTGGTACGAGTACGGAGTGGCGAGTACATGTACATGTACATATATCGAAATACAGATACATACATATACTATGTACATGCGCATAGCTCTCATCGAGGATCGAACAACAACAATTTGGTTCGAATCGAACGGAAACCATAAACGATAAGAACATAAACAATATGAACAGAAAAGTTTAATTTGAAGAACGAGATGAAAGTCTTAATTCGATTGTATTCGATTGTAAATAGTTGCGATATATCGATTTATCGATTATTGAACTCATGGGATATGGACTATGGGTACAACTGGTTAACTAACTAAAGAGTTTTGGGTAGTTTATATTTGGTTTTCGATTTTTAAAATTTTTAATTTCGCAAATTGTCAACTAGGAACAAGATTGGTTTTGGTATACGAATCGGGTATTGATATTTGATTTTTGTTGGTCAAACTAGAATATATGGAATTTGTTAGCCAATTGTGAGTTGAAGTTAACGTTAACGCAATTAGATATCATTGATAATAGTAGTTGATATTATATAATTAAAAGTAGTTTAGTAAGTGAAAACAAGTGGATAAAAACCTTCGCTCCAAATCCAACTGATCTGGTTGATCCTCTCACCTGATGGTTGATCACTTATTTGATTTGTCAATTTGTTACGTATTAACTTGAAACAATCAGCAATATTACGCTTAACCCAACTCTTAAAACGGCCAATACGATTAAAGGCCTCGGCGATCTTATTGGTATCATTGTCGGCAGTCGGTGCTGATAAACTAGATGAGCCAAAATTTGACAAAAGCAAGGCTAAGAAAAGGTTAAGAACCTGCAAATCGAAACGAAAGACCACAATGTGAACACAAATTGCAATTATTCACAGTATATGATCGCACTTACCACAAGATTGCCGATGACAACGGTGGCCAAGAAGAATGGTATGCAGGAGACATCGCCCACGTACATGCAGTCCCACATGGACTCGATCCACTCTCCGCATAGCACTCGGAACACGATCATGAAGCTGTGCATGAAATCGGTGAAGTTCCAGCGCGGCAGGTCACCATCCGGAAAGCGATCCTTGTGATCTGTATGGGGCGTGACGGATAATCGAACAAACGAGTACAGTAAATATTCAATATGTTGTACAATATGCGTCTGTTTGTGTTTTGGGAATAGGTTTTCGTATTATTCGTTTATCTTTTCTAGTTTGTGTTCTTGTTCAATTACTAAAGCCACATACAGGAAGCGTGTGCAAAGTTGTTGTGGCAGCAGCACTCAAAAACAGTGTTGAAAAATGCGAGGAAAGTCGTACAAAAATCACAAACCCAAAAACGAAACGAAATCGAAACACAATACCAAAAACAAGAAGTGAAAAAGAAAAACAATGAAAACAAACTGCGATCCACTCTTGAGCTACAAAATCGCATAGCCAAGTTACAGATGCACAGTTTGTCTAGCTTAGCTTAAGTATATATTGTATGGTACAGTAGGTAAACAAAACAATATAGTTAAGAGAGTTGGAAAAAGAGAGAGAGAGAGAGCTTTGAGTATGGTAAGCTAGAGGAAGAGTTTGCTCAAATATAAATCGCGCTAAAGTACTTACAGAGGCCCGGCGCCTGGTGCCTGGCAATGGGACCCGAAACTCAACTTAAACATAGCACAGCGCAAATATCAAATGAATAACCCTATTCCTATAAATATGTGTTTCTTTCACGGACCAAACTGTACGGACTCTGATGATTCACATTGCTCTAACGACAAATCTAACAAACTAAAAATGTTTCTATAATTGTACATTTTTATTCCATTTTGTGAATTTAATTCTTTTCATCTATTCACAATTTCCTAACTGAGCACAAATTATAAGTATCTCATAGTTCGTTTCCCGATTCAAGTCAATGCCAAATCTTGAGCTTAAATTTCTCATAAAAAATGACTTATAATTTATATAAGTGAGTAATTAAAAGTAATAAAATAAAAAAAATATAAATTTGCATAAACCATTCACTTAACAATTACTTCAGCATGGAACTCTACCTAGAGCAAGGCAAATACACAGAAAGTGAAGAGAAGAGTTTGTTGCGTTCAAATAAATATGGGAGTTCCTAGATTAAATCTTGAATTCATAAAGAGTTACTATTACTTTGAGAAACTGAATGATATATATTATATGTTGAATATGTGCGATGCAGCTAGCTATAGTCCTTAGCCTTCTAGAGACTTGCCATACTTAGCTATGCCCTACGCATCAGATGTAAGATCTCATGTCTGCCTGTCTCGATATATCGATTAGAAATCAATCGTTATCAGTAGGAAATGAAATATATTCGATTATATTATAAACTAGAGGCAACAAATGAAAGCATATCGATTGCTTTGTGCATGTATACACAGATTATATCCATATATGTATATATTTGTACATATATACTGCAGACATCGTACCCCTAGGGTATTTCCTAGTCCAACTAGATCACGTTTGTGGCTAAAGTAATTGCAGTGACAGTTTAGAAGTAAACTTAACGTTGGTGTTGACAACAATTAATCGTTATTGCAGTTATCGATAAGCACAACAACACTAGCAACACAAACAAAAGAGAACATAAGAACAACAACAATGTTACCTAAAACTGGATAGACATATAGACACATATATAACATGTAACAGTATCATATATACATAGTATGAAAACAAGAGAAACGATAACGGAAAGACGCCCACGAGAAATGAAAAGTATTAAGAGGGAATCAAAAGGGAAATCACACGATAAGAATATGCACATCGATACACAGAAAAAAAAAAAAAAAACAAACAACTGTTGAAAGGCAGCGCAGCAGCAAGTGGAGGACTTACCATGATAGTTCTTTCCGAACAGTTGCATTCCCATCACCGCAAAGATGAAGATGATAATGCAAAGTACAAATGTCAGATTACCCAAAGCGCCCATGGTGCGGCCCATAATCGAAATGAGTAAATTAAGTGTTGGCCAAGATTTTGCCAATTTGAATACACGCAGCTGCATAACGAATTTCGAATTTGTGGATTTGGCGATATCGAGGCATAGATTTAGTTATTCAATTGCAATGAGAGTTGTTGATTGGTTCGTTTATCATCATTATCAGTATCATTATCATTGTCATCATTATTATTATTGAAATTGAAATTGTTATTGGTAGTAGTAATATTTTTTTTTTTTTTTTTTTTTTTTTTTTTTTCAAGCCGGGCAAAGCATTAGGAGTACAAAAAATATATAAAAACAAATAGTTAAAGTCATATGCAAATATGTCTTCGAATGCAAATAACGTTTAAACTATGAGTAAAAGAAGAGGAAGACACAAAGCTACGAACGAGACCGTAGCTAATAACGTTCAGGCACAGCCGCCGTCGAGTCTTCTGCACGACTCTCATTCAATCAATCAATCGGATGGCATCGATCAGCTGAGACAATGATTAATAATATTCATAAATAATTTGTATACATATATATAAATCGATGCATGTGGAGTGGAGAGCCTCTTGCCAGCGGAAACGGCCGATCGATATTTATCGATTGTTGCTTTGATCGCGCGCATACCAATTTCGAAACTTGCGAAGCTCAATAAAAATTATGCAAATCGAAATGCATTAACCGTGCCCAAAGCATTGCTCTAGTTATGTATATATATATTCTATATGTAGTATTTGTAGATTTTGGTTCGGCTTGTCAAGTGTCGAATTTTCGATTGGAATTCAGGTGGTTTCAGCTATTTGCTATAAAAAAGTTTTGCTCGGCTAAAGTCAAAAAAACGAACACGAAATCAAAATAAAATCAAGTTCTTCAAATATATGTATTATGTATGAGATTAGAATTAGTTAACTTGGAGTAAAAAGTTGAGTAAGTTGTACTAGAAAAATGCTTGGTACGAATAGTTATATTAGATTTAAAAAAAAAAAACAAAATTATTATTTGTATTGCACGCTAAAAACTTGCGATTTTTGCTGTGTTTGAATTTCATTTTAAATCATTTTTTTTTTTTGTATTTGATTTTTACTTTTGGGGAAATTGAATGGATTTGCATTCGGGCATAGAGCATAATACCTGTGTAGTTCTTGCCAAACAGCTGCATGCCCATTACAGCAAAAATGAAGATTATAATGCATAGGACGAAGGTCAGATTGCCCAGAGCGCCGACAGTGCGACCCATTATCGATATTAGTAAATTTAACGTTGGCCATGATTTGGCCAACTTGAATACACGCAGCTGTAAATTGGCAGCACAGATGGGTAACATTAGTGTGTGTATGTGTTGAGTGTGTGTGTGTGTGTGTGTGTGTGTGTGTGTGTGTGGAGGCAACAGGGTTATCGGATTTGAAGAAGTACGCGTTAGTTGAGATCACATTGCTTTGAGTACAGTTATTGTATATGGAATCACCCATTTTTGATTTAAAGTCTACCTTAATTCCTGAGCTAACTAGAATCAATCACGTCGATTTGAGTGGACTGGCTAATGGTGCCAGTTGTGCTTACCAAACGAAACGAACGCAATACGGATAAGCCCTGAACGCCCTCGAGTCCCAGCTCGAGCAGTGAGAGTGCGACGATGATGAAATCGAAGATGTTCCAGCCCTCCTGGAAATAGTACTTCGGACTCATGGCCATCAGCTTCATGGTGGCCTCAATGGCAAAGGTTGCAGTGAAGAACTGAAATCGATAAGTATGTGATCGATAAGTGAATGACATGCACGAAAGACGCTCATTCATTGGCTCCCACTCACATAGTTTCCGCTCTTGAGCACTCGCTCCATCTCCTTGTTCATGTCGTGATGGTCCATGGCCATGAACATTGTGTTCACAACGATGCACAGCGTGATGAAGAGCTCCACGAACGGATCGAAGACGATCAGAGAAACCCATTCCTGAAATTTCAACCAAACCCAGCAGCAATCCCACACACAAAACACATCGATCCCTTTGAGTATCACTTCGAGCGCCTTGTCTTTGAACGTCGGCCCGTCCTCGTCGTCGTCCTCTGTTGGGAAATAGTAAACGGAGACTGAACCATACAAAAGTTTGTTATTAGTTGTGATTTGACCAACTTTGACTCAGCCAGATTAGCAGATTTTTGTTAAATTTGTTTTCTTTGTTTTTTTTTTTTTTTTAGTTTTCTTCAAGCAGATTTTTCATACGATTCACTTTCGCGATTTCTGCATGAAAGTAATTTTTTTTTAATTTTTGTGAAGCTTCATTGCATTGGAAATTATTCGTTTGCTTGTTTTAGATTAGACAGAAAAAGAATTAGAAAACAAACACTCACGCGTAGTGTATGTCTTTTCTTTTGTGTGTGTGTGTGTGTGTGTGTGTGTTTGTGTGAGTGTGTGAGAGTGTGGATTCTTAAGTGTGCTTTCGAAAAACTAGAGAGACTTTTGTTTATCGTTTTTGGAGCGACATTTGTCTGCATTTCAAATGCTTTTACAATGACATTCTCTAACTGCTAAGGCATGAAGATTCAAAATCAATTCGACTTTTAGTTACTCTACACTCAACTTGAAAACAGCTCCACTTGAAGCACAGACCAACGTGAATCGGACTAAACTGTTCCGAAAATGTTCAAACTCATGAATTTGAATCGCTGTTGGATACAGGAAAATTCAAATGTCTCAAGCTGAAGTCTCAAATATTTGAAATTCGTTTTTTCGTGTTACATCCAAAACCTCACAAAATTATTTGAGGACTTTCGTATCGATATTTATTATAAAAACAATATTATCTATATTCAATTTATATATTCAAGAGTTTTACTCTATAGCTTTTGTGGTTTACTCAGCTGAAGAGCTCTGCATATATCTATGTCTTACCTTCTCCTACATTTTCGCTGAGCCACCATAAATTTTATTAAACTTTTTCATATACCAAGTCTAGCTATCTTCATAGCTCGAAAGTTACTTTTGATTCTCAAAACCAAATAAATGGTAGATATTCATAAGCTATTTGCTATCGTTAGTATAAAATATCATTTTGGTCCTAGTTTGGAATTCTAGATTTAAGTTCAGATTCAATTTTGAACCACTTTTCGGATGTCTGATTCAAGGCTACTAAATTAAAGCAAATTCCATTGGTCTGTCTGACAAAAAATACGTTTAAGCTACTCTATCTAACTACTCGTAATACTACGATCACAAAAAGCTACATATCACACAGCTCTGAGAGAGTTGAAACAACTTTAATCAAATTATTGAAATGTGATCATAAAATGTGAATCATTTTGCTTTACCTTAATATCTCAGCGAGTTGTGAGACGTTTTGTATTCTCATTATATACGGAAATATATGTATGTTTATATCTATGACTATATCTATGCTAATTGTAAGTCTGACACAATTTTTGATAAGCGCGAATCATATTCCAATACAAATGTTAAGCGTTCAGTTCAAGTTGTTACAGTTAATTACACGTTGTTGATTGCGAGTATTTACTCTAAGGGTGATTTGTGACAACTGACAACGTTCTACTGAAGAAGCATGCGTTAGTTACTACAGTTAGTTAGATTAATTAATAGAATGCGTATAACTATGATTAACGCAAGCAAGCTACAGAAACAAAAATTAAAAATGATCTAGATTATAGACTTAGAGGTTAAACATTAGAGGCAAAGATTTTTGATTAGGTTAAGCTAAGTTAAGGCATGCAGAAAAGTTCGAATTTCAAAAATCAATTTCAATTAAACTTACGACTTTTGGTAATTTGAGACAAATTAAAATGAAAGTTAAGTAAAATTAGTTGATAAAAAAGGCTCTCTGTTTTTTTTTTTTGTTTCTTTCTTTTATTTGTTTAATGCAGAAATGTTTCGGAATTTCTTCAAGTGTTTTATCTAAATTTATCGAAATTCGAGACATAAATGCATTAAATGTATCATAAACGATATTTGTGTATTGTTCGGCAGCAACTGTAATTGTTGTTTTGTTGTGCAGTGAAGCAGCGCTAACGGTGAATTCAAAATGGTGCAGCAAGCTAAGAAGCCTCAATGGAGGACACTATGAAAGCGTCAAAAAGTGTTGCCTACTTTTCGGGGCAGCGGCAAAGCGAGTTTAGCTCGGGCTGCTGTGTATGTGTGTGTGTAGTTTAGCATAGAAAATTATTAATTTGTACTAAATCTAGTAAGTTCTTATGTGTGTGTATGTGTGTGTGTGTGTGTGTTAGTTTGGCTGGCTTGCTGCTTTTATTTTAAATATTATATATAAATATTGTTTTCTTTTTTGTTTTTTTGTTGCTTTTTTTCGCTTTCTTCTGTTAGCATCAACGGCATTAAATAAAATGGACGAGTCAAAGAAGTCATTCATTTGGGTATAAACATATGTAAGTATATTTATATAGCTATAATTATTAAAATATTTTAGGTATGTTTTCTTTTGTTGCTTTCTTTGTTAATAGGAAGAAGAAGAAAACTTAAAATAGACAAAATCAATGAGAACGTTCAAATCAAACAAGAAAAATATATAAATTTATAAATAAATGTGATAGTTAAAAATGTTGAAATAAAAAATTCAATTAGTTCATTCAATTTTTGTTTTCTCTTTGTTGTTAAATGTTTTAATAAATGAAGAGTAAATAATTGGTATGCTTAATCAACTGATGCACAGGCCTAGGGTCCGCATGCAGCACGCTAGAGATATTTTATTTATATAGTACTGTTCAATCAATCAATCAGGCGGCCTTCAACGCACTCAACTCATGCGCTTTCATTTCACTTCGATTGTAATAGGTTAAAGCAACAATGAAAACCAATAAACATGATCATATGTATATCGTATTTATCGTATTTTTTATAAATATATGCATATAGAATGTGAACTCGAATCTCTAGACAAAAATCTTTCAAAATTCTTCCGATATGAGTTATGAAAGGAATGCGTAGAGAACGCATTCCGGAATATCGCAGAGACATTTTGGAACAGATGAAACTCATTTTGTTTTAATTTTTCTTCTTTTTTTATCTTATATAGAGTATATAGAGTTGAGAGTAGTATAAATAAAATGACTATTGGGCAAAAAATGCGTTGTCAGAGTAACAAACGTTGGTTTATTTGAAAGTTCTTCAAATGGATATAGCCAAAGGAAAGGAAAAGTAAAGAAAAGTAAGGTCGAATAAAAAAGTAGATGAATTGCTTTGTACTTATTTACATGAACATTTGATTCGTATTATTTTTGATATAATTTTTGAAAATGTTCTTGAAACGATAACGGAAATCAATGAAAACAATGCACATGGTATAGAACACAAAACAAAGGAAAATGTACAAGACGATCGATTTCAATATATATTGATCGATATTTCGATATATATATTGCTTAATGGATATGTCAAATGTACAACATGAATGCAATGCAGTAGTTGATATCGATCTATCGATAGGTCGTTAAGTGTGTACTTACCACCGCGATCACTTGCGCGACTATGCCGACCTGCGGCTTGCTCAATAATATCATTCAGGACCATAACATCTAAGGAGATAGAGACGGAGAGAGAGAGAGAGAGAGATAGATAGGTTACATGGCTACATTGCATCTCTTTCCTTTGCTAATTACCTTTCATGTCGACCACCGTTTGTGTCTGGACGGGCTCAATAAAAGGATTGTCGTGATGTTTGATCTTGCCCGCTTCGTCCGTGCACTCCAGGCCGATTTCCTGAAATATCATATTTTTATATATTCATTATTTCAGTTACTGGACACTGGCTGGGCTTACGTAGTCGCGATGCTCGACCTTATGATTGGTGTCCAGGCAGGTGGTGCCGCCATTGGTGGCGCCCACTGATTGATTGCGTGTATTGCGATTGCGCAACTTGCTTTCCTTGGTCATTGTGCTGACGCCCATGACGGCCATGCCGCCAAGCAGATCGCCATGTGAGGTATACGAGATACGGGACTGGTGCGAGGTATACGACGAGTGTCTAGAGCCTAAAGTCCGCATTGAGTAAGTATAATTATTCAGATAGAGCGATAGCGCTTGTTATCGCTGGTAATATCGATCGGCTATCGATCCCACCCACCTAGATTTCCATAGTAAACCGGCACTATGATGGCTCCGTTCTCCTCAGACATGGGCGTCACTGCATTCGAGTCGTCGGCGTATGGCAAATGTTGTTGTGCATCCTGATATGTTGACAATACGAGCGGCTTACGATCACTGCCAGGTATTCCGAAACGGCCACGTCCATTACGTATCGTGTACTGATCCGGAACGATTGTTAAATTGTTTCAATGCAATTGAGCTTAAGATTAGTATATTCGACCAAACACATGACACAAAACTGTTTAAAAGTAACTGTAGCTGTAGTTGTAGTAGTAGTAGTAAGTAGTATTTACAGTAAAATAGTAGTAGTAGTAGTAGTAGTACGTAATAGTAGTTTCTTGTAGCTGTAGTTGTCAAAGTGGTGAATTGTAGCAAATATTATGATATACGATTATTATTGAAAAACATATATATAAGCCAAGGCTTCGGTTGGCATGATTTGTATGAGGGATACACGAACAAAAAATGTTTGAAAATCGAATGAAAAATATAACAAAAACTGAACTCAATCGGAACTCAAACAGTAATTGATATAACCGGCATATCGGTATATATAGACACGCACACACACACGCTTGATGCTCCCTAACTTATCGGATCAGAGTTGGTTAACAGACAGACAGATAGAGAGAGAGATAGAGAGAGAGAGAGAGACAGAGAGTTACAGATAGAGAGGAAGACATGTTGACTTGAGAAATAAGAAATTAAATGTCAAGTATATATAAATATTAGGGAAATAAATAAGTCTATAGCCACAGCATTTTACTGTACATATGTTTATATATTTTGTAAATTTTTATTTGCATATGGACGATTATATAGTTTTTGGAGTACAGATACAGATAGATATATTCGTACATGAAATCAACACATTATACAATGTATGGCTGAGACGGTGACAGTGAACAGTGACAGCGACAGTGACAGTGACGGTGACTGTATGCCTGATTCGGTGACTGTAACCGTGACTGTGACAGTGACTGTAACCGTGACTCTGACTGTGACTGTAACAGTGACACTGGCTCTGACTGTGACAGTGACTGTGACTATAACCGTGACTGTGACTGAAACCGTGACTGTGACTGTAACCGTGACTGTAAGTGATGCAGTAACAGTGACTTTGACTGTGACTGTGACAATGACTGTAACCTTCACTATAACAGTGACTGCAACAGTGAATTTGACAGTGACTGAGACAGTAACAGTAACGGTGACAGTGACTGTGACATTGACTGTGAGTGTGACTGTGACCGTGACAATTTCATTCTGTGCGCTCTAGGAATACATGTGCTACAACCTGCTGCTGGCAAGAACTGTTCATTTTACGAACCGATGCACAATCAAAAATGTTAAGTTGGCTGCGCCTGAGCATGTTAATAATATATGTAGGTATATTTGTCTAACTTCCAGCTGAGCGAAATGAACAGTTCTTTGCTCGCTCATTAGCTTACGATAGCTGTATAGCTGTACACAAACATACGCACATACATGTTACAGGCATACACACACAGACACACATACATAGAGTTACACTCACAGACACACACACACACACACACACACACACACACACACACAAACGAGCCGATAGTACAAATACCGATTGGTTTAGTTTTAGAACATTCCGTATAACAGTAGAAAAGAGAGAGAGAGATAGAGACAGAGTGTTGAGAGTGAGATAGTAGAGTTAGAGAGAGTGAGTGCTGGTACAGTAGTTGGTACACTTACATAGGGTATATGTAGTTCAAGAAACATCAAACATGACCAAAATATCACAAAATATAATTATGTATACCAATAATAATAATAATAATAATAATAATAATTATAGTATATTTAGATATATAGATAATATATATGTATGTGTATGTTATATGTATATATAGATTTTTTACAAATTAAATAGTTATATAGTTATAGACAAATAGGCTGAGTGACTTATGGCATGGACGACAAGAGATAATATGTTAGGATACCCAAAAGAAAAAAGTCACATAAATATAAACAGGAATCGAAACAAAAACTAAAGTCGAAATGGTATGCGCCTAAGTGAATGCTGAGTCATGTATGTTTATCTGCTATGTAGATATCTATGCTATGTATGCTATATGTATGTATATCGTATACCTAGTGCAACATCATGTTAACTCTTTCGATGTCTACTGTGAATGAGTTGCCCTGCGACTGCTTGTGTTGTTTGGTCTTAGTTTTATCTGTGCAATTTTGTACAAATGAAATGGACAGCAATAGTTCGATTACCATCAGGTCTAAGCATGTGTATGGCATGCGCACAGTGGGCTCAGTAGCTATTTTTTTTACTCAAAAAAAACACACAAACTCGAATGTAAAAAGTGAAGTCAGAGTATGCCCAGATGAGTTCAATGGGAGCTGCAACATTTGCTGATATTTGATGTGATGCTTTGTCGAATGGCCCCACTGTGCGTTGTCTGTGCTTAGCACACCCACACACACAAGTATATATACAGCTATACATTATCCATATCCCATATCTCCCCGTGTGTGTGTGTGTAATTGCAAGTTATATACAGTTTTCATTGTCGGTTGAAACTCTAGCTAGATGATATGAATAATGATTGCAGCGACTGTAGTACTTGGATGCTCTTGTTATTATTGTTGTTGTTGTTGTTCTGGTTGTACTGGCTGTCATTGATTCAAGGATAACAATACGCTTGGTGTCTATGTGTGAGTGAGTGTGTGTGTGTGTGTGTGTGTGTGTGTGTGTGTGTGTGTGT